TGGGTGAATGACTGTTGTGTGTGTGTGAATGGGTGAATGACTGATTGTGTGTGAATGGGTGAATGACTGATTGTGTGTGTGAGTGTGTGAATGACTGATTGTGTATGAATGGGTGAATGAATGAATGGGTGAATGACTGATTGTGTGTGTGTGAATGGGTCAATGACTGATTGTGTGTAAATGGGTGAATGACTGATTGTGTGTGTGTGTGTGTGTGTGTGTGAATGGGTGAATGACTGATTGTGTGTGTGTGTGTGAATGGATGAATGACTGATTGTGTGTGTGTGTGTGTGTGTGTGTGTGTGTGTGTGTGTGTGTGTGTGTGTGTGTGTGTGAATGGGTGAATGACTGTTGTGTGTGTGTGTGAATGGGTCAATGACTGATTGTGTGTGAATGGGTGAATGACTGATTGTGTGTGTGTGTGTGAATGGGTGAATGACTGTGTGTGTGTGTGTGTGTGTGAATGGGTGAATGACTGATTGTGTGTGAATGGGTGAATGACTGATTGTGTATGAATGGGTGAATGACTGATTGTTGTTGAATGGGTGAATGACTGATTGTGTATGAATGGGTGAATGACTGATTGTGTGTGAATGGGTGAATGACTGATTGTGTATGAATGGGTGAATGACTGATTGTGTGTGAATGGGTGAATGACTGATTGTGTATGAATGGGTGAATGACTGATTGTGTGTGAATGGGTGAATGACTGATTGTGTGTGAATGGGTGAATGACTGATTGTGTATGAATGGGTGAATGACTGATTGTGTGTGAATGGGTGAATGACTGATTGTGTGTGAATGGGTGAATGACTGATTGTGTGTGAATGGGTGAATGACTGATTGTGTGTGAATGGGTGAATGACTGATTGTGTATGAATGGGTGAATGACTGATTGTGTATGAATGGGTGAATGACTGATTGTGTGTGAATGGGTGAATGACTGATTGTGTTGTAAAGTGCCTTGGGGGGTTCCAGGACTCTAGAAGGCGCTATATCAAATACAGGCCATTTACCATTTTCACCATCATCCATCAGAGTAGTTATAGTCCGGTAGTCCTGCATGCTGTTTAGTTGTCATCTTAAATCTTTAATCCTAATAGTTAAAAACACTTTGAATAAAGGAACAAGCCGCTGAAACAACTTTGTTGTTTTCAAAACCTGCAGCAGCTAAATTATATGATTTAAAATCTTCCAGTGCACGACAGAAATTCACACATTCATACAAATATGTGTCATGTTCTGGTTTAGTTTCCCGAGCCAGGACATTCAGAATCATAAACGGAGACTGGATGAAAGGAATAAACAATATTTGGTAGAAAAGGGGTGAATGAAGGAGCGCCGTCGGTTTGAGGCGAGGGTTCGAGTGAGGCTGGTTAGGGGATCAGTGGAAGACTCGGGTGGTCAGGCCTGAGGTCAGGGTCGAGCTCGAGAGGGGAATCCCGATGAGCGAAGGTGAGTGCGGAGTGAGTAGCTGAGAGCGGGTCGGTCGGGTTGAGCGGGGAGACGTGGTCCAGTGAGATGATCCGTGGTTATGGCTGACGAGGCGGCGACGGCGAGGACACCTGAAGACAGGGAACAGGACTTACAAATGTGCTAAAGCTCAAGCAAGTGCGAAGATTTCTAAAACTCGAGCGTTGTCTTGTGATCTCAGGTTTGAGTATACCAAAATGAGCAATCATCCGGCGAGGTGATGTTGTCTCCCTGCTCCTTTCATACACCAGCTGGTAGATGACAGATCGGCTGCAGCTGCCCGCTCCTCAGTGCCACTCACCTGCAATGAAGCACCCAGAGGTCGTGAATGAACCACTCACCTGCAGACCGTGACAAAATGACTGAATGAGTTAACGGTGAAAGTAAAGTTGGGCAGAAAAAAGACTCGTTCTTTGAAAACGTTCCCTGCGTGAAACAAAAAGTCCTTCAGAAAAAGTTTTATTTGTGCATCATTTTGCACATTAGCTGGAACTGATCATGCAGAAGGAAGCTGCTGCCATAACGCTCAAACACGACGTCCATTTTTACGACATTAAACGAAAGTCGAGGATGTGAAGAAGCGTTTCTTGGTCGGAGCATGACTTCATTTATGAAATGTTGTTTTGACTGGCTTGTTGCTACGAAACAAATGGAAAAATTTGTCTCACAAAGACTCTGTCAGCTTCAAACAAGTGCATTCCACAGATTTATAGTTAAAGGCTACACACCCAACCCAAGTGTCACCTGTGATGCACCTCGAGGGGTAACGTACTCTTTGCAGGAGAAGCTCTCTTGACCGCTGAAACCATTAAGGCGAGCTGGAGCAAAGAGCCTTCTGGGTGAAAGAAGCAAAGGAAGAAGATGTGAGGATGGAGAAAATCTGCAAGTCACACCGTGTAACTCTGCACCTCAGGCACGAGCGTGGACCACAGACCGTGCACTAAAACTGACACCGACCTAATGTGCCTCATCGATCCTCCTTTCCACATCAGTCTAAGCAAATCTGTCTGAGTGCTGAAAACAAATCAGACACACATCGGATGCATGATGTGATGTTTTCCCTCTGCTGTGCATAAAGCCAAGGACGTGCTAGTGGTTACTACAAATGTGGGAAATGTAAATCTATATTATAATTTAACCAAATCTCTAAACTAAATCATGACCATCTTGCAGCCAGTATTGTCACGTGCATATTAACACCATAAAAGAAGCATGCAAAGATACAATAAAACAATGTATACTGCAGAGAAATGCAAACAGAATATCTGCCATATGCATGCTTGCGCAAATATTGCGCTACGTTAGCTGGTACGTGCAACAGTCAGTAGTAAAATATTGAGCAAATAATCCCAGTATCAGATAAAACATGTTAAAAAACTGTGCCATTCTTCATGAAGTGGGGCAAAAGTGTCCATAAGGCAGGTGATCAGCTTCCAAATGTCAAAATAAGTTGTGTTAAAACCTTTGAGACCAAAGAGGCTAAGTGAGGGTCCTACCTGTTGAGTTAAAAGTCTGCACGAGCCACAAAAATGTAATTGTTTTGATTTTATAAAGGCAAAAACCATTGTATGGTGATTTTTATTTGTACTCCTCAAACTAGGACCAAAATCACCATATTAGTAATAATCTGAACACAAAAGTGCTACAAGTGTTGATTTACGTTAACGAACTTCTAAAGAGAGAATTTAACATTCTGGAAATGCAACTGGGACGTCACAAAACCACTTAGAGGACCACTAATCGCCCCCGGGCCGCACTTTGGACATGCTTGTGTTCAAAAGAACAACAACCAGGCTGAAAGAAAAGCTCGTTAAAAAATTGTAATATTTTTCCAATGAAGCCCAATTCAAAAAGAAATTTGACAAGTCCCTTTAAAATACACCAGAGGTATTTACAGCCTGTAAATGTCAGGATTCTGCAACCTTCAGGACAGGAAAAGACATTTCCTCTACAAATATTTATATGCTTAAAATGAGCTCAGCTTTCAAAATGTGTTTTCTTATTCTAAATTTTAAGAAAGGATGATAAATAATAAATTATATAGTTATATACAAGTTCATGATAACTGATAAACTAGTTTTCTCCTATATTTTTGAAAGTTAGATAAATGAATCACTCAGATGGGAAAATGAAGCATTAAGCTGCACAATAAAGTCTTAAATCCTCTCAAAACATCATCTCGTTGGTTATTTGTGGCGTTAATTCTACTAATTGCTTCATGTACCAGGCCCTTAAATGAGGACTTTTAAAAATGAGCAGCGTTTCTACAGTGCTGCTTTCTAATACTTGGTATTGATGTCAGAATTTGGTGAATTTCAGTAAAAATGCAAATTTACTTTACGTTTTTACAGCAAAGAGGCTGCAGAAAAGTGTTATTTTTCCTGGTAGATTTGGAGCAAAGTTACTCTGTATGTTAGAAACCATTTTAGCAAGATGCTGTATTTCAAACACAATTTTTGCAAAATAAAATCAGACAAATCTCTGCTAATTCTGGTGATAAAACGATGAAACTGAATCATAATATTAGAGTCACATGTTGTGGAAAATCTGTGCAGGTGCTGCAAAAAATATGGCTGACGAAACCGCTGAAACCTTCTGTCATCAACATTTAGGTAATGTCAAAGGTTAATCGACTGTTTATAGAAAAGAAGAAAAATACAGGTAAACTTTTAAAACTGGTTGCTATGTTTTTAAAGATATTTCTCAGCTCAGTCACCCCCGGGCACTGTTTGTCAGGAGAATTTTGCTGTTTTTTACCGAGTTTCAGAGAAAGAGTGAGTCATAGTATAATTGTGGGAAAGCTGCGTAGGTGGAAGGTCCCTCAAATTATTTAGTTTACCAAACTGACTCAAGAGGTTGAGCAGGCCAACCGGTCATCACAAGGTTGCTGGTTCAATTCCATGTCATTTTGTGTTGTGTGTTGCTGTCTCTCCTCTTCCTGACTTGGTAACTGGATTAAAGCATCGATCAAAATCATAAACATAAAATGCAGGATTGACCAAAAGACAAAAACAGCTGTTTAAATTCATGGATTGCATCTTTAAACTTTTCCCTTTATTTTTTTTTACAACCTCGTGACATAAAAGGACAATGACATTTTTACAGCCATACATAATACGACCAACTCTTGTCCTATAGTTCAGTTATTTTTGAGCTATTATAGATCAAAAGGGACGTTTATTGTTATGCTTATGAGGCTCCACTAATGAAAGGAGGCTGTAAAATTAAAAATACTTACCTAACATTCATCTGTGTGAAAACAACAGTAATCTTTTTTTTATTCTGTATTCTTTTTAGTAACAATGTCGACATCTAGTGGTCAAAAATATTTTAAAGCAATTGGTAAAAATGTTTTTCAAGAATCTGACTCAAAAAGGAAAAATATGCCCAAATTAAGAATTTATTCAAAAAACAGAACATTTAATATTACTAATTCTAACTTTTATTATCAAATATGATAGAAATGCATTGAGAATCGTGTCGTTGATAATGGGAAACCCATTTTTTGACGAGGGCATTTGAAAGCATCACGACACAAGGCGGCGACGGTAGCCTTTGATGTTTGGAGTTTAGCTTTGCTGCTCAGGTAAATTTCTTGTTAAATAATTTCTTTGTAACCATTTAAACAAGTTCAAAACCTGTAAATGGACAGGAAGTTTAGGTAATTAACATTTAAATAGTAAAATTAATATTTCCCGTTCAGACGACGCTAATTTAGCCCTTTGAACTCCTTAGCGTGATACTAGTTTGTCCTAAATGCTACAACTTATGCTGCTTTCATTAAAATGTGGTCAAATTTAAATACAGAGAATAAATGAGCCTTTACGGAGTTTGAGCTTCATAGTTATTGATGCACACGTGTATTAAACGGGTTTAAAGGTTAAAATCTTAAATCTCAGAGATGTGAAATTCTGTATTTCTGCTACAGTTTTAAAAATAAAATTAAATACCAGCATGAGTAAATACTAAACGCAGGTCTCAAATAAGTTTGGTTCTGTGTGGGAAGAGTCATTACCCTCCTTGTTTAGTCATTTTGTTTTAATTAATCCATTTATTTTGAAAATCAAGACAGTAGAAACACCATCTTTTTTTATAGCGCCTCTCAACTTAAAAATCACGAGGTGCTTCACAAGAACAAAAAATAAATAATGTAAAAAAGATTTTAAAAAATGATTAAAACATGTTTAAAATTCAACTTGAGTTTCATTTCCTACACCCAGAACCAGGGCCCCGCAGAGACTTTTAAACTTTTATTTGTCAGGGATTTTAAAGGTGCATTATGGAAGTTTGACAGCTAAAACATGTATAGAAATAATAAATGTCTTCTTCATACATTCTCCTGCAATGCCCTGGTCCTGTAGAATGAGCCCTGGCATTTTTACTGTGATTGCCTGTTTTTCTGTAAAATCACAGAAAAAGAGAGATGCTCGGGTCGAGCAGGCTGCTTCATGCGCGTTCACGCTCAGGCATCGCCCGTAGCATTTGCTATCCGTAGCTTTAGCAGCAGAGAGAGAGGCAGTGCCACTTTGTCGCTGTTCCTAACGCCTAGTGACAAAGCTAGCTACATTTCTGAGGACCCTTAGCTACTTTCTGTAGAACTTTCTTCTAGATATTTCCTGCTAATTAGCAACAAAATAGCCATTTTCACTCCGAACCGTTCTTTGGTTTGACGTTGTTTCAGCTGTCATCAAGGATATAAAAGTTACAGATACTGTAAATGTTTCTAGAGTGTAGCTCCCCTAGTAAGATCTCTGACTCTCGTGCAGAAGACCTGGGTTTGATTCTGGATGTGAACATAGTTCATTTAGAGTTTCTTTTTTACATTAATGGTATATTTTTTTTACAGTAAGATGCCCAAATTTTTATTTGAGACTCGCCGAACGGCATTGAATTCACAGATAAAAAAGATGTGGGTTCAACTTTCATTTTGGAACAATTTTTCAAGCAAGGGAAGGGAATGATCTGAGCATGCAGGAGGACTGACCCATCATAAACCTTTGTCGGCTGTGCTGAAGAGAAAGCTACAGAACCACATTATTTAATTAATTAGCTGCGCGTTCTCCTGTCCTCCGGGCCACACACACACACACACACACACACACACACACACACACACACACACACACACACACACACACACACACACACACACACGGGACTGTCTCAGCTGTTATTTTCGTTAAGGAGCGTGCACGTACAGCATGCGTGCCTCGTGCACGAGCCTACTATTGAAGCTGTCGTTACGCTTTTGGCCTGAGGGGGCGATCGCGAGCATAAAAATTCAAAAGTCTGTAAAGTCCCTTTAATAAAACTCAAAACACTAAATTTACATAACAGGAACTTATGAATTGCAATTCATACATTCATAGTAAAGTAAATTAATTGGAACAAAACCAAAACTATTAGTTATAATAATGAAAGGGTCTGACGGGCCTTTTTTGTGTGGGTGAGTTTGAAAAGGTCGTCTAGAGTTTATTTTTAAAAGGGATGGGTTTGAGTTAATGACAAATGAGAAAAAGTTTGTAATTTCTGAGTTTAATAAATTAAAGGAAAGAATACAAATCTCAAGTTATCAAAAAGGTTAGTTGAAGTGTTTTTAAATGAAGTTTACATTAATATTTATATATCTGAGTGAGTTTTGCCCAAGCTGCCATGGACTCGATAAACAAAAGTCTTGTGTTGCTTTGAGCACTTATTATTAAGTATTCATATATAAGTATTTGTCATTATAAAGTGAACTGATGTCTGTTGGCAGGTGTTGAAATTAGTATTTTTATTATGTCAATAAAAACTGAAAGCACAGAATTAAACCAGCAACCCACCAAATACTGGTTGTTTCTAGTGAGTTTCGTAGAAAAATACCTGAAAAGTAATTCGTAGCTTACCCGTGTCAGGCTTTGGTGAACTCCTCACCCCCTCACCAGAGCCCCGCTGTCTGTGGTTCTCCGGATTATTAAAAGATATTGTAGCGGTTTCACATTAGGACACTTGGCTGTCCTGCACCAAGTCTAAGACTTGGAACTGATATCTGATGGTTTTTCAGCAAGAAAACAACATGTGGCTGTATGGAGCGATGCGTGTTCCTGTGACGGGACGGGCATGCAGCGCCATAGGGAGCCTAAGACTCCTCCCTTTCCGGTCGGCTCATGGGTCCCCGGAAGAACGACAGAAACAAATGCAAGTCAACGGGGCTAAAAGAGCTATTTTCTAATCCGCTTTGCCTAACACCCTGGATCACACATATGCTGTACCGAAACTTCAATGAAAACTAATGATGCGGTTTCGACCACGCCAATCACGCACATTGAGATTTATCAGATTGTAAAAGTTTGTAATTGGTACGACTACAAGCTAGACATCGGCACGTCGCATATGTGACATCACCACATCATCTCCTCTCCCCTAGCGTAGCTGCTACTTACCACATGGCCAGATTTATGGTAAAACGGTAAATGGCCTGTATTTGATATAGCGCCTTCTAGAGTTCTGGAACTCCCCAAGGTGCTTTACAACACAATCAGTCATTCATCCATTCACACACACATTTACACACTGGTGGGGATGAGCTACGATGTAGCCACAGCTGCCCTGGAGCGCACTGACAGAGGCGAGGCTGCCCAGCACAGGCGTCACCGGTCCCTCCGACCACCACCAGCAGGCAAGGTGGGTTAAGTGTCTTGCCCAAGGACACAACGACAGCAACAGACTGAGCAGGGCACGAACCTACAACCTTCCGATTACGGGGCGAGCATAGTGGTTCTTTCCTCCTGAAGGAAGGATTTAAAGTTAGCTGAACTTACAGCCATTTTCCTTCCGTTTTTCTCCATGTCTGGTTTGATGACGTCACTTTCGTGAAGCGCATTTGTAGTGCTGGACTTATTTTCACACAAAGCCTAAAATAGCGTTTCCCCCAAGCCCCCACAATGCAGCTCTAAAATTGAGGCAAACCCGGAAATGAAATAAATTGCAGTTCCACCCTCATCCACTAGGGGCTGGTGTCAGAAGCGAGCAAATCCTCATTGACTCCCATGTTAAAAATACCAGTTTCACAGCAGAAATAAACATGTTTACAGCCTGGTACCAAAACATGTTTTTGGTTTAAATGATCTAGTTTACACTCATGACAACTCTGAGGGGGGTGAATTTGTTTCTCACTCTTCTGTTTAAGTGTATTAAAAGCCTAAAATTCTGTATAATTAATGAGCATCAGACCCACGTGACCACAGAGCTAGCTCCGTGGAAAGGCCTCAGTAGAGCCTCGGTCTGGCCTGGAAACTGCTCCGGCATTTTGAGGTTCTGTGTGTGTGCGTTCTTTTTTGGATATTATTTGTGCAATTGTTGGACAAAATGACTTGCTGTGGCATTAATTGCACTAATAGAGCGTCCAAGGAGTCTTCACTTAATTTTTTCAGTAAGTAAAATTATATTTATGTATTTTAGGTCACTGCCGAGCTGAGCTTAGATTTTAACATGTACTGTTTAACCATGAAATGTAAATGTAATAGGGTAAAACCCAGTGCATTTAACATAATGCTGCATTTTAGAAAATGGGTTGAAATATAACATGTTGGTGGAGCTGGGTTCCCACTATCGGCTTGTGGAGCTCTCGGGAGACCGATGTTTTCCACCCGTTCTCTCCTCCCCGCAGCTCGGCGCATCTCTTTCTGATCGCGGCTTCTGTCTGCTGCGCGGGCTGACGGCTTGTGGAGCTCTGGGATGGAAACCTTTCGACCCGGTTCTCCCTAGCGGCAGCTCTGCGCATCTCAGACCGCAGCGGCGCTTATCTGCTGTGCGGCTGCCGGCTTGTGGAGGTCTCGGAGACCTCTGTGTTCCACCCGGTTTTACCCAGCGGTCAGCCCGGCGTATCTCTGACTCAGAAGCTCTGGTGTTGTGCACAGTTAACTCCGGTTGTAGCTAGGTTGCTACCTCCGTTAGCTTAGCTCCCACCTCCGCATTAGCTTTGGGTTAGCTTCAGGTTAGCTTGTAGCTTGTTCGACCGGGTGTCGTCAGTTGATCCCAGCCTTACAGCCCCACCCTCAGCTCCTCCTCTCTTCCCTTTTTTGGAATTGTCTGGGCTTGACGGAACCTGTGACACGGTCAAAATGGCGGTGGTGGCCACCTCCCATTTGGCCTCAAAAACGTGATATTGGAGCCAATGGAAAGGAGATGTCCAGTATATTTATGTCGATGGTTTCCCCTCATGCGAAAACGAGCGCTTTCTTGGTATCAAAATGCTTCTTTAAAATTCTTGAACATTATATGTGAAATCCATGGCGCATAACAAGCGGGATTAGAAATTAGCGTTTTTAGTCCCTTTGACTGGCATTAATTTTTTCGTTCTACCGGAGAACCGTGATCCAGAAGTAGATGGGCGTGATTCAGGCTCCCTATGGCCGACAGGCTCACTTTTCTTTGTACAACACCTGTAACCACCGCGAGTGGCTCAGGTGCTGTAGGAGACTGAGAAACCCTGATGTTTTGCATTACGTTGGCAATTTTGCTTTGTTTATTAGTGTTGCAGGGAGATCGTTTGGGCTGGCTCTTTGTTTTTGTCTGAGTTGCCACAGTGAATTGGGACTGCTAGTTGCAAACTGGGACTGGGATGTAATGTTGAACAGTGATTCGCTTTGGCGAAACCTGAAGGGAAAATCCAAAAGAAAAAGTAGTTTGATATGAAGACTGTCGAAGGTCCAGTATGCACACGTTACTAAACATGACTAAAATATGACCAAACTGCAGACATCTTCTCTGTTTGTCCTGAAGCAACATGTTAGCTTGCTAGCTAGCAGCATACATGTTATGGAGTCCCTGCATGCCGTAAATAGTGTGACATTGCGGTGTTGTTTTTGTCCAAGAAACAATCACGCGATCTGTTCATATGTCTGACGTGATCGGATCGGAGCAACATTAACTTAAAGTTGACAGTAGTAAGGAACAAGTTAGCTAAAGGACTAGCCTTTTTCATTCAGACCACTTATGACTGGTTGAATGAAAAATATTTGCCAGGATGCTGCATTCTTTCTGAAATGTTGAAAACTATCTAAAATTACCGTTTTGTTTTTGTTCCCAGTTAAAGTATAATTTGTAAATGACTTTTGTTTAAATCCCTCCATTTCACTACCTATAGGTTGTCCATTCAAATTCATATCATACAGAAATAGTGCCAAGAGCACAAGTGGAGGATAGATCTTCACTGGTAAGAACTACAGCCTCACCAAAAGTGGTGGGGACAAAACTGTCTGTTATAAATACTGATAGACATGTCCCCGATATCCCTGACTGGGAGATGCTGTAATCTAGATATTAAGGTAGCTGAGACCTTTAAACAAGTACTTCTAGTTCAGAATCTTCCGATTGCAGGATGTGATGAAAGTCAGGCTGGGTTCGGTAGCTCAGTCTGTAAAGCATTGGGTTCATCTGCTTAAGATCAGGGTTCAATCCCAGGAGAATCAATCAAATCAAATCAAAGATACTTTATTATCTGCATGTGTGAATGAGTTTAAGGCTTTGGGTTGGTGTGCTTGGAAGATCAAGGCTCAGTCCCAGTGGAAACACTTTCTTTTAGACATTAAAGTAGCTTTCTGGAGTTTTCCTCTTTCACAAATGATGTATGGTTTTTCAGAAATCCTTAACTCATTCGCTGCCAGTTTTCTCACCGTTTTTTAAAAAAGTGATAGAACGTTGCGCGCTAGGATGATGTCGACACCAAAACAACCAAAACAAAGCGGAAGAATCTGCGCGTTTCGAGCGTTATCCATTCTTTCATAATCTATTGTCGAATTGTGATCGGCAGACACTTTTACAGTTCGCGCCTCACTTTTTTTTACAGCAACGGCCCAAAACGATCTCCTGACACATGGATTTTCTGCTTCCTGATCATGTGACGTGTGACGTATGCGGATGAAAATCGGCTTCAGAGCTGAGATGTTTGTCCTCTCAGCAGTAACAGTAAAAAAATGTTAATGACTACTTTAGTTGTCATTGGCAGTGAATGAGTCAAAAGTGATTGTCTCATCATGTACTGAGATATAATGTAAGCAATACGTCTTTTATCTTTTGCTAAGCACACCCCCTGCCCTGCAGAGCTCCGTGCAATAGGAAACTGAACGCCTACCCAAACAAACCAATAGCGCTAGACTACCACTTACCACTTCACATTTAAGGAGTACCTCGGCTTATGCAGAGTTGATGAACTTTTCACGGAAACGTAAGTCTCTAAAATAAAAATACATGAGAACATAGAATGACATGAGAGTAATACTCGTAAAACTGCGTGTTTTAGCTCTGTTTATTTTTGTATTTTTTCCGTAACCGCGCTGCTCTGGGTGGCTGCATGTTGGAGTAGCTCTGTTGACTAAATGTAAGTTTTGCCTTTTCTTGGACATTTTTTCTTCTAGTTTCTCAAGAAAAACTGTTTTTTGGACACTTTACTTTTCTGTTTCTGGTGCTGTGAAGCTTGGAGGATTTTTACTGCAATTTTGTAGCTTTTTTTCACTTTTTGAGCATTTGTTATGATGCGTAACCATGGCAACAAGCTGGTTTACAATCGGGAGCAGCTGATTAACATTGGAAAGGCTGAAATAATACCTCAACTGAAGCCACAAATCCCAAGTGAGCTAAAACACAAGAAGTGTGGGTGCAGAGCGGGAGCTAAACGGAGACAGAGAAAGAGGAAATTCAAACCATCTCTTCCATCGATCATAACGGGCAATGTGAGATCACTGGCCAACAAGACGGAGGAACTCCAAGCCCTTTCAAGGACTCAGCCAGAGTTTTGGCAGTTTCAGAACCGCTGGAGGAGATAATGCAAAGAAGGATTCTCCAGAGAATCAAGAAAATGATGGACAACCCTGAGCATTCTCTTCACAAGACTGTCCGACAACGGAAGAGTGTCTTCAGTCAGAGGCTTCTTCAGTTTGGCTGCAACACTGACCGCTACTGGAGATCCTTCCTGCCAACAGCCATTGTAATATACAACAACTCTTTGAAGACTTGATTATTATTATTATTCTGAGCTACTACAGCAATCAGTTTCCCTCTGGGATTAATAAAGTATTTTTGAATTGAATTGTCGGCTACAGAAGCACATTTCTAAACAAGAAAGGTGAAGTTGCGATCTTAAAAAAACGGAGCGAGAGACTGTTTGTGTGATATGCTTGTCAGCCACTAGATGGTGCCATCGGATAAGAGAAATGCTCCGGAAAGAGACTTTAAAAGGGAAAAAGAAGGCAGTTTATCAGCAGTCTAAAACATTTGGAATGGTGCCAAGCTGCGGTTTTACTTGAACCAAATTGGCTAGATAAGTAAGTCCTTAAGGCAATTAGTCCTTGTTGCTAGGCTAACAAGTTACTTAGTTACTAAATTTGGCCAAATAACAAGGTAACAATGTGTATAACAATAGATGACTCGGCCTGGCCTACTACTAGTTACTACTAGGAAGTTACCTATCTTGGTCATTAACCTATATAATAAAAGCTACATAGTTCATCCAAAACCCCAGCTTGGCACCATTCCAACCAGCGTACCCCCCCCCCCCCCCCTTTTGACACTTTCAAAATCAGGAAAGCAGAGCAAACTGTTTAAAAACTAAAGACTTTCATGCTTTTCTGCATTCATCTTATTTTTAAGATGTCAACTTTGTAAAATACAACAACTTGGTAAAGTCAGCGTCTAAATGCACAATTATGTTGAATAACTTTGCCATCTAGGACTGTGTGGCGCCACCTGGTGGAGGTAGAAAAACCTTATGAGTTTTTTTTAACTTTTGCAAAACATTTCTTTTCAATATAAAAGAGTAAAAAGGAAAACATTTATCTTGATCAATCAATTATTTAGTCAGACTGGATGCATTTAAACCGTTTGACACATCAGAAACATTTCTGGAGATGCTGATAAGATCAAGTGAAATCTATCAGCCGCGGATTTGGCCAAATAACTCTCCTGGTGACTTTTGCTTGACATCTAAACATAACAGAATATGTTTAATAATTTTTAATTAAACAATCGCTCAACCACTCTTTTTAAAATGACACACAACTTGAAGACAAGACTTTTATCCATTGAATAAAGCTTAATGTTATTTTTGGATAAAAAACAGATGATAGGCTTACAGAAATAAAAAGGGGAATCAAGGAGGAAAGGAAAAGTTTATATTTGAGTTGACGTTTGCTGGCTTATATGAAACATAAGTACATAAATGAATCAGTAATGGGGCAAATGCGCTTTTAAGGGTGTAAAATAATGTTTTTCTTTTTTCTTTTATTTAGGAGCGTCATGAGTGACTTTGAGGATGCTGCCTTTTATTTTGAGTCTTTCACTTCTCCAAAACCAAAAAGAAAAAAACAGGCCAAGAAAGACAGAAAAGAGCCCAAACCTAAAAAGAGTGAGTCCATAAAAGCACAAGAAGGTGTCCACTCCAAGCTCAGAGAGACGACGAAGGAGCTGAAGGAAAAGAAGAAAGAAAAGAGGAAGAACAAAAACAAAGAAAAGAGGAAAATGAAGAAGAAGAAGAACAAATTGGCTCCAGAATTAGAGGATTTTACTTTGACTCAGTTCAGCAGCACACAAGCTAAACGGTCAGAGAAGCTTGAAATTCCCGGCAAATCTAAAGACTCCATGAAGGAGGGAAAAAGAAACAAGATGGTGGCGTTTGACTCGTTACCCACCTACATACGTGTCAAACGGCCTCAGTTTGCCTCCTCGACACCCAAAGAAACTGAAGATGTGAGAAGAAACGAGAGCTGCTCGCAGGTCTCATCGACGGGACAAACTCAGGACGAAGCTCAGGACGATGTCCAGTGGACCAGCGATGATGTAAACAGCCAGGACCTCTTCATCACCCAGAAGACATTCAGAACGTCGCCCGCTAAAGCGTTCAGTGGTGTAGCCAGCGATGAATTTATTACTGCCTCTCCACAGGTGTTCACACAGAAAAACAAGAGTCAGAAGACGGCTGAGGAGATCAACAAGACTCTAGAAATAACTCACAAATGTCCTCAGGAAGGCGCGGTCCTTAAGCTGAAGCAGGAGAAGATCTCCTCACAGACACACAAGCTTAAACCCAGCTTAGCCCAGCAGAAAAAAGCAGAAGCTCCCAAATGGATGAACCCGTTCTTGGATGAACCCGTTGTCATAAGCGAAACTCCAGAAGAACGTTCTTCTTCAGCCCTTCCACACGGCGAGCCATCCCTTCCTCGTCCACGCAGCGCAAACAGCTCGACTCAGACAGAAAACTTCTTCACCTCCGAGCTCTCCTCCTACCTCCACTTCTGCCAGAAGAGCAGAGCGGCCGCATGCGTGGAGGACCTGAAACCTTTAGATCTGAGTCTGCCACAGAGGGTCAGAAAAGATCTCCGTTTGTCCGTGAAGATGTCTGTAATCAATGCCAAGCTGGACCTGGGTAAGCCGGTGCTACGAGGAGAAATGAGCGACGACGGGAGCAAAGGTGTGTCTGAAAAGCTACGAGAGAAACCTGCAGAGGTGAAGAAAGAGCCCGAGACGACTCCAAGCCCCCAGTCGGAGTTTGACACCAAGTCTGCCGACACAACGGCCTCCAGCGAGGACGACCACCTCGCTCGATCTGCCAAGAAAGACCTGAGCCAGGTAATCCAGTACAATCTCATCTGGGTACATTAAAATCTATCATAATGCTCCTGTTAGATTATCTGTGAGTTTATTATGGCGCGTTTTCGTAAGATTTGATGTTTATTTGAAATTCAAGCAGATCCTGTAGTAAAATAGAGGAAAATCTAATGTTCACCAGCTTTATACCTTTTAAGTTTTATTTATTTATTTTTTGCATTTGTTTTAAATGTTGTAAACATTTGAACAAAAATGTGTCTCAGATTAGTCGGTAAAACCGCTAATCTGGGCTAAAAATGCACAAAGATGGCAACTAGAGCTGGCCAATAATTCAGTAATGTCTATTGATAGATGTGTGGTGCAATAGGAAAGAAATGGACCAATAAAAAGTTTATTTTTTCATTAAAGCCTGTCGGATAGCTTAATACTCCAGTCATTACTTAGTCCAACCAGTCAAAAACTCAGACCCAGTCACGCTTCGTCACCACGCCCTCTCCTCTCAAACCGCAACGATGACAAGATGTCGCAGCACCACATCAGTTTCAGAGGGTTTCTTAGCTTAAAGTGAGGGTCAAGGCCTGGGTGGAGAGACGTATTCCATCCACACTTCCTGTTAGGAAAACGCTTCTGAAAGAGGCGTGGCCTGGCGGACCCAGAGAGCGGCACAGAGGCAGTGGGAGAACGCACCCCCCTCAACACCCCCGCGTGTGCTGTCGGAGTTTCTCAATCTAAAAACGAGTTGTTAACGAGCGCGTGCGCACTCGCACGAGACTCACCGCTCAGGAGAAGAGCAGACACAGATTCTGCAGCATTCTGGAGGATTTCCTGTTAACCGCGATCATTAGATGAAAAAGGGGGAGGAGGGCATTTTTTTCAAGGAGGCGAGCGGTTCAGAGCGGCAGGTGATTGGCTGAGCCAGGTGGAGGTGCGGCTGCCTCACCTGGAGACCAGTGCACTGCAGCCACGTAGCCATTTGCTGACGTCACGTTTTCCAGCTTAGCCATCAGCCACAGCTGGTTCTGCATGAATGTGGAGCAGAGATTTAACCTGAAGATGGAGATGGAATGATGGTTTTGGGCTGAAATGTTACGTTTAAAGTAAGTTGCACTAAAATGCTAGCCTGGCAAGCCAGACTAAATAAATGTATTATTTAGTCTGGCCACGCTCCATTGACGGCTCTCGGTTGTGGGGCGGGTTCTATCGTTGTCTTTCAAATGATCTCCGCATTCCACTGGACAATGAGTGTGACATACTCTTGTTTCACTCTGTTGCATCATCCCACCCACCAGGCATATAGAGTGCCCTGATTGGCCCACAAAGCGGATAAAGCTCTGTGATTTGTTCACTAAGCAGATAGAGCACTATGATTGGCCCACCATTATAGACCAATCACAGCTCTTTATGTGTTTGAAACCCCTCTAGAGAGCTGTGATTGGCTAGCCAGAGTCCTGGTAGGAGCTGCTGAGGTTCCAATGGAGCATGCCTAGACCATTCTTTGCAATGCAAGAATTTGGTCTAGTTCACTAGGCTACTAAAGTGCCACACTAATCATTACACGTGTGTACTGCAGGTTATCAGTAAAAACAACTTAATTTAGGCGTGACTTGCTCTTTAACCACATCTGCTCCGCTAGACCCAAACACACCATGTTTATTTATAGAGCACATGTATAAACAGCATGACAGCGGACCAAAGTGCTGTACAGCAAGGAACAGAGGAGCGCCATAAAAAAATCAAATCAAACAACCTAAAGATAAGATTAAAAATAAGATAAATAAAAGCGCCATCACAACAATAATGGAACGAATAAACAACTAATGAATCATAAAACACGGGACTAAAAAAATATGAGAAAAGAAAAGCAGGGAAAGCACAGTAAAACACCAAAGGCAGTCAGTCCTAGGATATAGTAAAAATAGGTCAATGACCAAAGGCAAGGTGATAAAAATAGGTCTTCAACGCCGACTTCAAACAGCCTAATGCAGGGGCCTGTCGTACTTGGAGGGGGAGGGCATTCCAGAGATTGGGGGCATCCTCGCTCCCCACGAGGATGCACAGTAGTAGCTGATCTGCTGATCTAAGGGATCTAGAAGGAGCATACGGTTGTATATTAGTTCAGCGAGGTAGGTGGGAGTTGGGCCGTTCAATGCTTTATAGACAAAAAGTATGATTTTGAACTGTGTCCGGTACTGCACAGGTAGCATGGACGTAATTTTTGGGGGGGACAGGGGGGACATGTCCCCCCCCCCCCCCCACACACACATTTTCCAAAGTCAAGTTTTGACCCCTGCACGTTTTACCGTCCAAAAACAATATTATGCTATATTAAATTGACACTGGTTGAGCTCTAAGACCAAGCGGAAAACAATCGTTTGTGTTGAAGCCTGTTTCCCATTAGAACATACTGTAAAGACCCCCGTGTCCCCCCCACTTCTAAAGTGAAAATTACGTCCATGACAGGTAGCCAGTGTAAACGGGCGAGGATGGGAGTAATGCGACGACGTCTGGAGGTATTTGTGAGGAATCTAGCTGCGGCATACATGTTTGGGTGAATGGAGATTTTAAACAGCTTTTAGTGTGACTGTGTGTGTAGGCATCTTTAAAATGCAGTTTTTTCTGCTTCAGCACACCTGACTTTAACCTTTGTGTGATGAAAAGGCTGCTGCAGAGTTTGGTGACTTGCTGAACAGGTGATTCAGTCACCGAGTCAGCTGTGCTGGAGCAGAAAAACACTAAAACATGATGGATATGGGCCATTCCCATCTGTACCGGGTCGGCCCCAGCCTGGCCCGGTTGATTCCACACATCCTTGTCTTAAGCCCATGTGGGCTGATTCTACCCACCAATCAGAGGCTTGCTCTAATGGAAGGTGTGAATTTGCTGTCAGCAGTGGGTGTGTTGGTCCTGGTCGGCCTGAAGCAGACCCCCTCGAGAAGAGGGCTGAGAATGAGCCTTGGTTGGCCCGGAAAAATACCAGGCCACCCAGATATGTAAACAACCTACGCTACCCGGCCCGGGCCGACCCGGTACAGATGGGAATGGCCCAATAGGTAGATCTAAAGGGTCCGAGTTGGACAGCCCTGAATCATATGCTACGTATCACAAACCTCTCATGCTTTTATCAGACTGTGGTTCTTTTTACAAGTGTCACTGTTTAACAGAGAGCCTCCCCCCCCCCCCCCCCCCCCCCCCCCAGGTCGGAGCGGTCCAGCTGAGACTAAACAAACCCTTCTTCTTCAAGACAAAAGGAGAATGGCAGTCGCCTCGGCCGGAGTCTCCGCTGACCAAATTTTCTCAGGGCAGAAACCCTAAAAGCAAAAAGTGTCACTAAGGAAGGACGTGAACGTACGATGAAAGCTGTTCTTGTTTGTTTCGGAGCATTTTGGGTCAAAGGCTTAAAAGTTCGAGCTTTTTTAAAACTTGTTTTGTTTTGCATGAAAAGATGATAGTTTGTGTTTGAAGTACAGGCATGTTTGCTGGATTGTTCCTCCCTGAAGTACGTTCACATTTCATAAAACAGACATTAAATAGCTGTTCTGTGTGAAAATGTTTTTATCAAATAAAAGTAACTTATTCCAATAAAGTTGTTTATTCTTTTCTGCAAGAACTGGAAAAATCCAAGAAGTTCAGTTGTTAAATCGGTTACATTTATCCATTTTATAACAGGAGTTTGTTCAGTAGCAGTTAGCGTTTACACGGACTCGGTTACTATGAGTCCTACCTGCAAGCCTAAACTTCCAGACAAGTAAAACCCAAGTCTAGCAGACTTTAACAGACATGAAATAAAGAAAATAATGTTACTGAAGTTGGTAAAGGAGGTAAAAGTGCATCAGAAAACATGCCGTGGGTTGTTTTCAGAGAGCATCCTAGTTGTGTCTGAAGAGCTTGATCCCCATCCAGCTCCAGAGATGGAAGAAGACGTAGACGGGGATGGTGACCGGCAGCAGCAGGCTGTAGAAGCACAGACTGTTGCCGCTGGTGCAGCCTTGAGGGAAGTTCTCATCCACGGCTGCAGAGTAGAACAAGCCAATGAGTGACACGATGGGGACCAGTCCCACCATCACGGACAAGGAGAGCATTCTAGCAGATTAGCTTTACAGTTTTTTTCTTTAAAAAAATAGCAGTGCTCAATCGGTTTTCTGGCAAATGAAGGTCTTTGATAGACTTTCTGTTACTGTGCAGGTGGATTAGAAGCGTCTGTGTCCTTCTGAAGGAGTCTGGCCTCCTGGGGGATCATGTTGGGGATGCCGTCGATGATGGGATAGGCGATGCCAAGCTCCTCATTGATCAGCTCGTTGGTATTGGCATCATACCTAGAGGAAAGAAAAAGAACATCAGTTATCTGGAAAACAGATTTGACTGTTTTATGCGTTGGTTCAGTCATTTCTAATAATGAATGCCTAGGTCGCAGGTCGACGATAGACTTTGAAGTCGTATCATCCGACCTGCGGCCGTATGTTTTGGACACCAGAGTGAAGAGAGGAGCGGAGCTGTCAACTGATCACCACCTGGTGGGGAGTTAGATCAGATGGCAGGGGAAGATGTCGCGTAGACCTGGCAGACCCAAACGCATAGTGAGGGTCTGCTGGGAACGCCTGGCAGAAGAACCTGTCAAGACGGTCTTCAACTCCCACCTCCGGCAGAGCTTTGACCGCGTCCCGAGACCAGTGGGGCACATTGACTCCGAGTGGGCCTTGTTCCACTCTGCGATTGTTGAGGCGGCTGTTGCTAGCTGTGGTCGCAAGGTGGCCGGAGCCAGTCGTGGTGTGGAGTGTGTCGAGTTTGGAGGCAGGAGAATCTCGTCTCTGCTTTTTGCGGATGATGTGGTCCTCCTAGCTTCATCCAGCTCTGGTTTGGGGTATTAAAATCAATTAACCTGGCAGCTTTTGAAAGAAATCACTTCATTTTTTATTTAAATCCTAAAAATAATGATCAGATCTTGCGAAATGTGCTAAAAGCTGCAGTGTCGCTGACCGGGCGAACCAACGTCTGTCGAAGATCCAACGTCCATCTACAAGCTAACTTCACCGCGGTACAGGACAAGCGCGTGCCTACGTCTTAATGCTTTTATATGAAGTTAGAAAGGACGCCGCTAGTTAAAAAACTAAAATCAAAACAGATGAACTCTGAAACACTTTGTTGCCGTTACCGGAGTGGCTTCTTGGACAGCGGACACACCAGGAAGTCCAGCAGGGAGGAATCGAAAGGCGGCTGCACTTCGTCCTTGGCGTCGGTCAGACTCCTCACCGGGACTCGGGCGGACGTTAACGACGGTCTAAACGCGGCTCGTTTCACATGACGATCAAAACGAAACGTTTCTGTCACGAGCCTGCTCACAACATTCCTAAACATGACCAAGTCCTGCGCGGCGAGCTCGGCGAACTCAACAACAGGAAGTACCAGCTTTGGTGTAACACTAAAACATGAGCCGGAACCTCTTAATATGTCCGCTGACTTCCGAGGTAGGATAAAAAAATCCCACAAATGAATTTAAATGTTTATCGACGTTTAAATTACTATCCGATTTATTTAATGTTAATAGACATGAAACTAAAATCCCATAGTTCTGGTTATTTTACAGTAAATTAAAGAAGGCTTGTTTCTACATTTGTCCACTGGATGGCAGTGTTTCACCTTTTTAAATCTCATTACGGCTGTCTCTCCAAAGGCAAAACCAAAAATCTAAAAATAAGGTTCTGATCCAGAGAAAATGTACATTTTCAAGTGTATACTTTATGATATTGCTTGGATGGTTTCTGACCTTCGATGCATTTGATTCACCAGAATGAAACTATGACCTGGGTCCTGTCCACTTTAAAATAAATTATCTGATGTGCAAACACGGTTTGTGGACTTTGCAATGGTTTCTATTTGTATTCTTGTTCCACAGATGCAGTGAACATGATTTCCCAGCAGGTTATCACTGTACAGTGTTAAATATCGTCAGAGACCCTGCTGCTAGTGAAGAGAATACAGTTTCCAATCCATATGGCTGCAGATATTGCTCTGAGACTTTCCTGGCAGGGCCCCAACTTGTTTTAAAACTGCTTCTAGCTGTAATATATCCCACCACTCGGTACATGACAGACCTGCTAATACAGTCATTTTTCTTTCCCCAGCTACCACGGATTGAATTCAGAAGTGTAACACAACAGCCAGGCACCTTTTTGTGAGCCTAGTTACTCTCGAGAGATATCCATCAGGCCTGACATGTTCCAAGGAACACCGGAGTTTGAAATGCGTAAAGTAGAAAAAAGAAGATTTCAAATCCCAAATGATATGAAAATAATCTGATGCTCGGATGTAATTTAATTACAACAAAAACATAAAAGCTCAGTTTAAGTAACTAATGTTGTTGCTCCTGAGCTAAATCACAAACATTTATTTTGATCCCCAGAAGAACAAAGATCACCTCGTCCCATGGTTTCTGGGAACATGATCTCACTCCAGAGACCAGAAAATGAAAACCATCTCATCTTTTTTTCACTAATTATAATTTTTCTTGCTTGAGGACAACATTGAACACCTGCGTCTGTTTTTATCAGAATGAAATTAGCAACACCACCCAACAGAGCTACAGTAACACTTTATGACTTTCAGAGTGGAAAACCTTCGGTCCAAACTATGATCAGGTATTGATTTTTGCCTCCTCTACCCTGTAATGTCATCTGAAAAGCTTTGTTTTGCTTTTTGCTGTATCACATGCTGACTGGACGCTGACTCGACAGAGATGAGGGGAATTTTGTCCTGATTGGTTGACCTCTGTGACCTGTTCCACAGCACAGTAACTGTACTCACAGACTTCGATTGCTGAATCCTGAAAAGCTTTGGAGTCCAGCTGAAAACAGCTTCCTGCCTTTAGGGCGACCAGAGCATCCTCTCCACCAGGCAGTGGAAGCATCGAGTCTCTGTCAGGATGGCGAGACCACTAAAGGTTCTGGCTCGGAAAAGGACTTCATGTGGTTTTGGATTTTCATGGCTGCACGCATAAAGCCGTATGTCCTTGCTGTGCACGAGTTACATGCTTTACTCAATTTCTGCACATTTTAGGCTCATGCAATCCTCTATATTGTGGTTTAAGAGAAGCGGCCATGATTGGAAAGCAGCGGTGCGGGTGTTGTGAGCTCAGAAGCAGCAGAGCGAGAAGCATCTCGAAGCCTGCAGGGCGTCTTCATCAAGCCCACTCCTCTGTTGCATCGCCTGTCAGAGCTGTCATCAACCACATGCCTCCGCTGACCTTTCCACAGCCACTCACGTGTGCACTTATGGGTCCCCGGTGATGACTACTTCTTCAGCCTGAATGGTGAAGAGCCGCGACAGACTTGACGTAACTTTCACAGCCTGGCGATGTTTGAGACCTCTCGTATTTCTCAGTCACAGTAAAGCGACAGAATCCTGCTCATTTCATGATGACTGGATGAACCAGTCAAGGCTGCACACCTTCACACAAGCTTTCCCTGCATAATGGAACAGTTCCACTCATTGGTTCAACTATCCCTGACCCATATAGTTTATAAGATGTGCCAGATTTCCTCTTTCAGTAGTTTCCACCAAGGTGATAAAGTAAAGTTTTTATTTTCACATTTTCTCATCTCATCTGCATCTGAGTTTATTTGCACCGGCTGTTGGATCCAGCTATGCCTGAACTTGTTTGTTGCACTGTTAGAAACCAACTTTTATATTCAACAGGAGATTTAAAACGTTTGTAACTCGTTCTACCGAAGGGGGGAAAGACGATTCACACCACGTTGTTTGACTGCTGATCTCTTTTCTTGCTCGGCACGGGTTTCATCCAAACAGAAGATTAGCGCTTTCAGTTTTTTGTGCTGAAATTTTGCCGACGCTACTCAGCCTAATCTGATAATCAGATCTCCAAAGGACTCTCTTCTCTAGTTCTTCTCTGTCTTTTCTTCTCTCCCCTCTCCCCTCCTCCCACCTGCAGTCAGCACATTCCTCTGCCAAGAAAGACAAAAAGCCAAACTCCTGCTAATACACCTGATTGATGGAATGGCAGCAACCCGATGAAGCATTGCCCCTCAATTAGGCCTCTGTGGTCACCTGGCAACACTGTTAACGAAGTGTACCCTTCAATTAAGTCTCACCGGTTACTCAGCAGAAGCCCGAGCCAATGAGGCGTGAGTGAAGGTTGATGCCGTGTCATTAATGTTCCCTTCAAGGCCTCACACTGCTGCTTTAATCACTCTGCCACCCTTTAGTGCCCCAAATGTGTGTGTGTGTGTGCTTATTATGGTGCATGTTCGCAGCACTGAAACTTGTTTATGAGGTGTTCGTAGTAACTCCTTCAAACAATCCAAGCGCAGGTTTTCTGCTTTTATGACACGTCGTCTGAGGAGTTCACAGTCATCCTGAACCTCACTGTAATTCTTTGAAAGGTGCGGTGTTAAAGGATTGAAAACCTGTTTAGTGAAGATGCATCCTCCCCATAATGGGGTCTATTAAAAGAAGGGGAGGCAGCGGGAGAGAAAGTGAATTAAAGAGAGAGAGAAGTGAGGAGGAGTGAGAGGAAGAGCGGGGAGGATAATGATAGAGTGAAGGCAAGTCCGGTCAGCTTTTCAGCAACCTAACGAGGGAGTAGGATGCTGCCTGGAGGTGATAATTAGAGCATCCTCCAAGGCTGAAGAGGCCCACTCTCCTGCCCCCGGCACATCTGCACTACAGAGGGCAAACTGCCCCTGAGAGACTTTATTATTTTTACTCCCAACCTCAAAGTTTCACAAAGTCTTTTTGAGCTATCAGACCATCACAGGAAGCTGAAACTGTCCGCTGAATCCCAGCCTGCTTTCATTTCTGGGATGATATAAAGTATAAGATCTTAACATCACTATAGGCTCTTTTTGTTGTTGTAAGTCACACGTTCAATTCAATTCAATTCAGTTTCAGTTGAATTTTATTTAGAAAGCGCCAAATCACGACAAGAGTCGTCTCAAGGCACTTCACATAATAAACATTCCAATTCAGGTCAGTTCATTAAGCCCATCAGAAATAATGTTTCCTATATAAGGAACCCAGCAAATTGCATCAAGTCACTGACTAGTGCCAGTGACTTGATGCAATCCTCATATTAAGCAAGCACATAGCGACAGTGGAGAGGAAAACTCCCTTTTAACAGGAAGAAACCTCCAGAGAATCCTGGCTCAGTATAAGCAGCCATCCTCCACGACTCACTGGGGATGGAGAAGACAGAGCAGGCAGGCAGGCAGGCAGGCACGCATGCACGCACACACACACACACACATGGGAGAAAAACAGAGAAAAAATGAAGTTAATAGCTGAAATAGCAGGAAATAATACAGTTAAAGAGCAGATTGTAGAAGAAAGTAGCAGAGTGAAAAGTGGTCAGTGTATCCTCCAGCAGTCTAAGCCTATAGCAGCATAACTACAGAGATAACTCTGGATGACCTATCCTTTTTAGATGGAGGCATGTTGGAGGCGGGGCAAGGGAGAGCCGTCTTTACCGACTGTACACTCCACCTCCCTCTACTCCCCCACTTGTCCAGATTTAGGCTAACATCAGATTTTAACCATAGGCCCTATCAAATAAAAATGTTTTAAGCCTAGTCTTAAAAGTAGACAAGGTGTCTGCCTCACGGACTAAAGCTGGGAGCTGGTTCCACAGGAGAGGAGCCTGATAACTAAAAGATCTGCCTCCCATCCTAATTTTAGATATTCTGGGAACCACCAGTAAACCTGCAGTCTGAGAGCGAAGTGCTCGGTTAGGAACATATGGAACAATCAGATCACTGATGTATGATGGAGCTTGATTATTTAGAGCTTTATATGTGAGAAGAAGGATCTTAAAATCTATTCTGAATTTAACAGGTAGCCAATGTAGGGAAGCTAAGACAGGAGAGATATGATCTCTCTTTTTAATTCTCATCAGAACTCTAGCTGCAGCATTTTGGACAAGCTGAAGACTTTTAACTACATTCTGTGGACTTCCTGAGAGTAATGAATTACAGTAATCCTGTCTTGATGTAATAAATGCATGAACTAGTTTTTCAGCATCACTCCTGGAAAGTATGCTTCTAATCTTAGCAATATTCCGAAGGTGGAAAAAGGAAATCCTACAAACCTGATTAACCTGGGATTTGAATGACATGTCCTGGTCAAAGATAACACCAAGGTTCCTTACTTTGTTCTCGGAGATTAATGTAATGCCATTCAGGTCAGGTGATTGGCTAAGCAATTTCCTTTTCTGGATTTCTGGTCCAAAGATGAGAACTTCCATCTTGTCTTGATTTAAAAGCAAGAAGTTTAGAGTCATCTAATTTTTTATGTTCTCAAGACAAGCCTGTAATCTACCCAACCGATTAGGTTCATCAGGGTTAATGGATAAATATAACTGAGTATCGTCAGCATAACAGTGGAAGTTTATCCCATGCTGTCTAATGATTTTACCAACTGGGAG